AGAAAGAATTAGCAAGGGAAAAAAGTGAAATGAAAGGAAGGAGGGAGGAAGGAGAGAAGGAAAAAGGAAAAAAGGAGGGGGAGGGAGGAAGGAAGGAAGGAAAGAAGGGAAAAGGGAGGGGGAGAGAGGAAGGAAGGAAGGAAAAAGGTGAAAGGAAAGGAAAGAGGGAGGGAGGATGGAAAGAAGGAAAAAGGGAGGAAGGAAAAAGGAAGGAAGGTAAAAGGGAGAAAGGAGGAGGAAGGTAAAAAGGTGAAATGGAAGAAAAGAGGGAGGGAGGGAAGAAGGAAGGAAAAATTGTGAAATGGAAGGAAGGAGGGAAGGAGGAAAGAAGGAAGGAAAGAAGGAAAAGGGGAGGAGGGAGGGGAGGGAGGAGAAAGAAAGAGGAAGGAAAAAGGATGAAAGGAGGAAGGAAGAAGGGAAAAAAGAAGGAAGGGAAAAAGAAGTGGAAGGAAGGAGGGAGGAAGGAAAGAAGGGAGGAAAAAGGAGGAAAGAAAAAGGGAGGAAGAATTAGGAAAGAAAAAAGTGAAATGAAAGGAAGGAGGGAGGGAAGAAGGAAAGAAGGAAAAGGAGAAAGGGGGAAGAAGAAGGAGGAACGAAAAGGTGAAAAGGAAGGGAGGAAGGAGAGAGATGGAAGGGAGGAAGGAAGGAAGGAAGGAAGAGGGGAAGAAGGGAGGGAGAAAAAGAGGGAGGGAGGAATCAACCCCTACTCTTTCCTGGGCCTTCTCACACTCACCCCCAGCAGGTGTATCTTAGCAGGTGAGTCTCCACCTGTAACATTCACAGCATCCTCAAAGACGGTTTGGTTGTTCCGGGATAAGCGAGCCACTTTGCCTTCCACGCCGACTCCGCTGACATCACCTGTCGAAAACAGAGCATCGTGTGAGTCCCTCTTACCTGGAGACTTACCTGGAACGACAAAAGAGGCAAACTTAAAACACTCACTTTCCTGGTTGTTTCCCACCAGGGTTTTGTTCCGGACTTTCTTGCAAACATCCAGAAGGGTCGCGCCAACGTAAGCTATTTCGGAGCCAAAGCGAAAACTCTGCAGAAGAGGAAAAGGAGAAAAGGATCCTCCAGTGAGGTGAGAACCGGATCCCAGAATAGAAGTGCTATTTGCTGGCCATTTTATCCCTCTAAGCGATGGCTGGTTTTTCACTCCTAAGGCAGAACTAGAACTCCCCGTCTCCTGGTGATTGGCCCAAAGTCACCCAGCCTGCTTTCATGCTTAAGGCAAGACTAGAACTCACCTGGTGATTGGCTTAACACCCAGCCAGCTTTCATGTCTAAGGCGGGACTAGAACTCCGTCTCCTAGTGATTGGCCCAAAGTCACCCAGCCTGCTTTCATGCTTAAGGCACGACTAGAACTCACCGTCTCCTGGTGATTGGCTTAAAGTCACCCAGCCAGCTTTTGTGCCTAAGGCAGGACTAGAACTCCCAGTCTCCTGATGATTGGCCCAAAATCACCCAGCCTGCTTTCATGCTTAAGGCAAGACTAGAACTCACCTGGTGATTGGCTTAACACCCAGCCAGCTTTCATGTCTAAGGCACAACTAGAACTCACCGTCTCCTGGTGATTGGCTTAAAGTCACCCAGCCAGTTTTTGTGCCTAAGGCAGGACTAGAACTCCCAGTCTCCTGATGATTGGCCCAAAATCACCCAGCCGGCTTTCGTGCCTAAGGCAGGACTAGAACTCACCTGGTGATTGGCTCAACACCTAGCCGGCTTTCATGTCTCAGGGGGAACTAGAACTCACCATCTCCTGGTGATTGGCTCAAAGTCACCCAGTCAGCTTTCAGGCCTGAGGTGGGATTAGAACTAGAGAGGGCCCACAATGAGATCCATGAATTTCTAGGAACTGGATCTTCTGGATTGAATTGTGGATCTTCTCCAAATGGAATTAGAGATTGCTTTCAATTGGAACCAGAGAAGATCACAACGAGATCCCTGAATCGCAAAGAACTGAATCTCCTGGCTCTTCAATCTACAGCTAACCCACAAATCCCGGCCAAACATCTCAGCTAGCCTGCCGTCCTGCCTCGGCTTACCTGGGTCAGGTAGAAGATGCGGCTGTGGGGCACATTCAGAAGTGAGTTGACAGCACCCCGGAAGGTGTAAATCTGTTGGTGTGGATCTCCTACCAAGATCACTCCGCATGTTTGTGAGAGGACAATATCCATAACCGCTAGAGAACGAAAGGAAAAAAAAAAGAGCTTTAGAAGCTTGATATGGAGAGAGTCAAACAGAGAGAGAGAGAGACAAAGAAACAGAGTGAGAGAGAGAGAGAGAGAGAGACAGAGAGACAGACAAAGAGAGAGACAGAGAGACAGAGAGACAGAGAAAGACAGAGAGAGAGAGAGAGAGAGAGAGACA